TATAAAGCTGAATGTCTGTATGTCTGTATGTCTGTCTGTACGTATGTTCCGAATAGAAAATTCCATTTCTGAACCGATCTGGACCAAACTTGGCACACATACACTTCGGGCCCGGGCGGGTGTCATAGGCTACTTTTCGTCATCGATCGATATCGATTTATCGATTTTTATCGATTTTTTGCAGAGTTCACCTACGGGGCTGGGAGTTGGCACAGGGGGGTAATTGAGCATGGGGATTCCGAATACGACATTAGTTTTCAGGATTATTGATCACTTTTATCGATTTTATCGATTTTTTTGCAAAATTTGGGCTACGGGGCTTGGAGTTTGCACAGGGGGTTAATCAAGCATGCTGATTACGAGTTCGATATTAGTTTGGCGCTATTCGGCTAACCGGGCCCCAAAACTTTTTTTGTCGTAGAGCTTGCTCAGATTCGTGTATAAGGGTTATCTTACATTTTGATTACAGATATCACACATTCGTCGCAGAAAGTGTGATATCTGTAATCAGCATGATAAGATCTGTAATCATCTGTGATATCTCCCCATGTGGTTACGATAGGTGTACGGTAGGAAGTCAAAATCATGAATTCGGCTGGAGTTCGGTCCAGAGAACTTATTCGACATGCTGATTACGAATTTCATACTCTCTCTGCATATTGGGACCTCTTCATAGAGTTAGGGTGGTTATATACGGTGTGGGGTCGAAAACATAGATTTGCTTCAAACTTCGTCTAGGGTGGTCATTTAGCGCGCTGAACATAAATATCATGTTGATTTCGCAGGATGGTGCATTTTCTTGGGTTACGGTGGATGTAGAATAGAAGTTCCAGATTTGCTCAAAACCTTACCTGTAACGGTTCACAAGTATATCGCTTATGAATATGATGCTTGCTCGCTGTCATAACGCATTAGTGAAGTTATGGTGAGTTGCAGGATTTAAATGGACAAGGCCAATTTAGATCCCAGATATTCATGAAATGGGGAAACAGTCGTTTTGCATGGCGGTCTCCAGCGCCATCCTGATAACCTGTCTCAACGTGTAACGCACGTGGAAAATCTTCCTCCCCCTGATTTGCTTAGGCAAAAGCCGCCGAAGGGTGTATCGCACGCGACAAATCTCCCTCCCCCTATTTCTGCTTAGGCAAAAGCCGCCGAAGAGTGTAGGTCATGCTCAGGAGAGTCAATGATAAGTTGCAAGGAAGGTGACTTTGTCGGCACCTTCCTTGCAACTTATCATTAACTCTCCTGAGCACCGTAAAGGTCATGCCATAAGCATGACCTGCTAGATATGAGTGTATCATTGCCCAGATGTTTGTGATACTACTTCACCACGCCTTCAATCCTGAGCATTCTACCACTGCACGAATGGGTGCATGTCGTCTGTTCAATAAAGCTCTAATAGCTTAGTGTTCTATTAACACACCAGGAGCCACCATACTCCACGACAGGCGCCACTCATCCGCCTAAGGCTACAATTAAACCTACCAACCACCATAGTATTGCACGCGGCAAATCTCCCTCCCCCTATTTCTGCTTAGGCAAAAGCCGCCGAAGGATGCATCGCGCGCCGCAGTGGTCCTATAAGATTACGGTCGTGGGAAACTTTTATACCACACGAATTGCCTTTATCGCGGGGATTGAGCACGATATTCTTGAAACAGCACTTTAGGGAATTTTCTGCCAAGGTTTCAGGCAGGCTTATGATTTTTACCCGCTGCCACGCGATGACTATGATATTGTCATCAGCGGCTCAAATAACCCCCACATACCGAGTTTGAGCAAGACCCACCACAAAAACATCTTAGGGCCCGGATAGCCGAATAACGCCATCAGTTTTTAGAATTATCCTTACTTTTATCGATTTTATGTTTTTTTTGTGCAAAGTTTGAGCTACGGGGCTGGGGGGTTGGTGAGGAAGGTAGGTGAGCATACTGATTACTCACGCAGCGGGAATAGGGAATGTAGAAGTGGGCACAGGCAAAGGTGTACAGAGATAGAAATGGAACCTTTATCGTTTTTGACAGGGCGAGGCGGAGCCGGGTAAGCCAGCTAGTTTATTTAATAAAAACCTCGGCTTTTTAATTACGTTTACTCACTCAGAAGTACCGATAATTCAAAAAGCAGCTTTTTCAAAACAAATTAAACTTGGTTGTGTTGCATAAATAATGTTTGATAAGAACCATGTTTTAGTTTGCAGAAATTTCAACAGCCTTCATGTATTTGCTGCAGTTGCGTGTTTATGACTTTGCCAAAAATCGAGGCCTTCAAAGAATTAATTTTTTGAAGCTAAAAACAGCACATTAGGAGAACACAAAAATATTGACTTGTAGTCCGAGATTTGCTCTATTTGATCTACACTTAAACCTTTCCAAAACTTTGAAATGGAATTTTTAAAAATTAGCTAAACTTTGAGCACATGATTTTGACGGGTAAAGAATTTTGGCAGCTATCAAAAAAAAGCATATAAGATTTTGGTTCGGGAATGTGTCCACATGAAAGATAAGAAAAAGCTGCATCGAGCTTGTTGAAACTTATTCAGAACTTTATTGTGCTTGGGTTTATAGTGGTTTGATAAGACGGACAAAACTTTTGGGACAACCTAATATGTGTGAATGTGGTCAACTCTTGAAGAAATTTTTTCAAGCAAAAATAGTTCCAGTACCAACCAACTGTCATTTTTATACGCAAAGCCTACGAGTTATTTTGTAATTTTGGAATCTACAAGACATTTGTGGCACGGTCGTGTCCTCGTCGTTGCAAACTGATTTTTTTGTGGTCCTTAAGGATTCAACCTACGAATTTCAGGCTACTTATCCACTACTCATTGACCTATGGTTGTTTATAACTACGAACAGCTTCACGCCATATTTGAAAGGCATTTGGTGCTTTTCGATTTCCAAAGGAATAGTATGATGTTTTATGCCATCGTAACTAATGTTGTGGTGCTTTTTACTTTCTACATCATGAAAACGACGCGCCTCGATCTACTAAAAATGAATCGCATGCTGATGTGTTGTAATATTTTGTTCCCAGCTATTATGTGCAATTCAGTATGCTTGCTACTTGTAACCTACATCGATTTCCGTATCCGATAATCGCTAATTTGGGGCCTATGAGATTCGGTGTGGGAATAACAATACTGCTTTGTGCAATATCTATCTGGTCTGCAGTACTGAGTGCTTTGTATATAGTCTATTCAATCACTGTAAACTACATAACAGTATTTCACTTCTCAGTTCTAAGCAAATCACTTTTGATTCTGTCCAGGTTGCTGCTGTAGTCGTCCCTTTCTTACTATTGATCATTGTTAGCATAATATTGCCGTATCGACTATCCTAATTTCACGCGTACAAGGCGCACCCTTTTTGCTTTATTCGCGCACAGACCAAAGCATGTCGCGCGGTTGATGCGCGGCGGTTGCCACACTTGAGCATGATAGTTGGCCGCTAGTCGCTCGATTGTGAAATATCCGCACATCCTGCTCCTGCGCGTCCCCACTTCTTTCCTTAATTGAAATTTGAGCAGCTCGAAGTTTTACTACTGCGTTTTTACTTCTACAAGCTGCACTTTATGGTGAGTTATCATGTTGTTAGAGCTTAACTCGCCGTGTTTATCAAAACCAATTGTTTTGCAGACAGCTATGTGCAGCATAAAGACACTTGGCATGAATTGGCCACGGCAATGGAAGCCCTGGAATGCGACACGGACGAAAGACGAAATCGAAATCAAAGACAACCCCGGAGGCAATTCATTTCCATGCTTTGTTCAATACAAAGATCAGGTAAGCAGCTTGAAATAGTTTACTTTTCATCTGTTACATTGCTTACAATCTTATTTGCGAGATCTGCGCACTTCATTGCCAATTTTTCCACTGAGCCATTTCATTGGTGGTCTTCTGTAGGGAATGTTTTGATGGAATAAAATTATGATGTGTTGCTACGAGGTCTCCATGAGCGTGCTATTTCTGCGTGAACATGTGCAAGGTGTTTTGATGTTGGACTTCGAGCGCTCATGCGCTTTCCAACTAGCTTTTCTCTTTTGAAGCTCATTAATCTTATCAAAAATACAATACTTTACATCCTTCTCCACTTTAAGTCAGACGAAATTACTGTGCTGGATTCAGTAGTGTTTTTTTCATTCAAGAACAGTGTAATCCGTAAAAACTTTTAGCGCAAAGTCATTTTCCAAGATCACAGGCCACTCATGGTACAAGATAGCGGTCTGATAATAAATGTTGGAAGACAGTCTTTTCTCCTCTCGGTTCCATTCCCGTGTATGAGTCACATAGTTCAAATGAAGAAATGCATTGCGATGTTCGGGCAAGCGATCAAATGCAGACTTTGCGTTGCCAATTTGCGATATTCCGTTAACTTTTGCTTTACAGAGTAAATTATCATTTGTGCACTTTCCATACGTTTTATAGGTTGCAAATCTCAACTAAAAAGGCCGAGAACATCAAAAATGTTCTCTATCTCACAAGAAAGCGAAGCCTAAAGTTTTTTATCTAGATAAGTACGTTTCCAACCACTCTTACAACGGATAGTTCTAGCAAACTAAAGTGCTTTCACTTCAGAGCGGTCTATGGTTACATTACCTCAACGAACAGCTAAGAAAACAGAATATGCGGCATTGCATTGTTGAATGAGATGATGGCGACAGATTGGAGCGCTATGTTTCCTTACTGATTGAAATGAAATGTCAGAGTACGTAAAGGTTTGACTTCAAACTATCCTGAGTTCTGAGTTCATGAATGTCAGGTTTTCGTGGTTGTGCTATAATCGAAAAACGATGCCATAAGCGTGTCGAACTTCTCCTCTACAGAAGCTGAATAGATGCTTCATACGATCTTAGCTCTAGGTTGGCGGAGTCTCGCACGGAAACCATGAACAGGTGCGCCGCTTTTCCAGCGTGCTATCGTATTGGCGCGAAATTCAAGGACGGCGAGAGTTAGAAAATATTACAGCTCTTAATTCGCGTGTGAGAGAAGTCCAGTTGTGATGCAGCTAAAAAGAAGAAGCTACACAGCATCTTTCAAAACGAAGGTTGTCGCATACTCGGAGGAGGTCAACACACATACTGGCAGAAAGAATGGGAATCGAAATGCTGCGAAATTATATGGAGTGAATGAATCCCAAGTGAGGAAATGGAAGGCAAACATAGATGCGCTACGAGCAACCGATGGTTGCAAAGGCGCATTGCGCTCTGCTCAGCCAAAGTGGCCAGATCTTGAAGAATCTCTCAGAAAATGGGTGATTGAACAGCGTAAAAAGAAGCGCAAGGTATCGACTATTCAAATCCGTTTGGAAGCAAAACGCATGGCCGCAGCTATGGATATCATGAACTTTAAAGCCGGCAGCGGATGGTGTAACAGATTTATGCAACGCGCAGGATTATCGGTAGGAGCCACCACATCAATAGGCCAGCATCCTCCTGAAAACGCAATAGATCTCATGGATAGGTTTCGCACTTATTTGAAGCTGAGACTGCCACAATTCTTCTCAAGGACATCGGGAACATGGACGAGGTTCCAGTCACTTTTGACATGCCTGGTAAGTATACAGTGGACAAAAAAGGAGCACAAGACATCACTATAACGATAAGATTAAGACAGGTAAGATTTAGCCAGTTTATACATTCCTAATCAGTTAGTTTAGGAGGAGAAAAAACCGACTTTACGGTCGTCCTTGGTGTGACTGCTGATGGCAGATTCTGTCCACCAAAGGTGATATTCAAGAGGAAGACAATCTCCAAGGATACGCCACCCGGTTAGCGCTGCATGTGGGTCTCAAAATCCACTTATTCTTCATATGAATTTCAGAAGTTGTCGTAAAAGCGAACTGTTGGGGATGGATGAATGAGGTCCTCATGACTGATTGGATTGAAACATGTTGGATGGCGCGGAAAGATCCTGCAACTTCCCCAGAGCAAGCCGTACCTGTTCTTGATTCGGCTCGATGCCATTTGACTTTGAAAGCCAAAGAAGCTTTACGAAGAAGAACGAAGATCGTTGTGATACCAGGAGGGCTCACAAAAAATCTCTAGCCGCTAGATGTATCTGTAAACAAATTCTTCAAAAGCAAACTCAGAAAGAAATGGGAGGAGTGGATGATCGATGAGAGCAGGCATACATACACTAAACAAGGACACATGAGACATGCAACGTACGCAGAAGTGTGCTCTTGAGTACTGGCAAGTATTCAAGAAATTAGTTCCAATGCGTTCAAAATGGCTTCAGATGAGCCTTCGGAGAAAGCGAACATGATGACGAAGTAGGAGAAGGCGAACTTGATTATGAATTAGGAGTAAGTGAGCTCGAGGACGAAGGAGGAGAAAGCAAACTAGATTACGAAGGAGGAGAGAATGTACTTGATGGCAGAGTAGGAGATCACCTGAGCGATGCGGAATCCATGTGATCCTTTCAACGCTTTTTATAAATTCATCACCCTACAAAACCTTTCATTTTGCCATTTGTCATCCGTTTGTCAAGTTGGCTCCGATCTCTTCGCTTTGACTTTTTGTTACGTTACGTTTGTTTTTGTTACGTTCCATTGTCGTGATATTTTGCATTTCGAAGTGAGAACGCAGTAGTAAAACTCCGAGCTGATCAAATTTCAAACAGGGAAGGAAGTGGGGATGCGCAGGAGCATGATGTGCGGATATTTCACAGTCGAGCGACTAGCGGCCAACTATCATGCTCAAGTGTGGCAACCGCCGCGCATCAACCGCGCGACATGCTTTGTTCTGTGCGCGAATAAAGCAAAAAGGGTACGCCTTGTATACGCGTGAAATTAGGGTACTGTCCGATTCAACAGTCACAAATGTGATAGGTCGTGATAGTGCACGATACTTTATGCAATTTTCTGCCCTATTGATTCATTTTACATGGCCTGGTGTTGAGATAGCTGCAGTCGTAGTTTTCGTGCTATATTTTAGTGCAGACATGGCATGTGCCGTGATGATTATGAGGTCAGTGAGCTATCTTAATTACTGTATTACAGTCAGATTTAACTGCTATTCAAATCAATGCTTTGGGTGTACCTTGAGAAGCATTTACTTTCTGCAAGTATCTCGAGTGTATCGGATATAATTGTTTCACATTGAAGGGAAACATAGCAGCATCACTTAGGGCCGCATGCACTAACCTCCCCGCGGGGAGGGGATCTCAGCTTAAAAGAAAGCTTTATATTTTGAATCTCCAGATACCTGGATTTCACGTTGTGTACCTATCCGTAAGTATTCCTACTACCCTTCACTATGGCTGTACGAACCGCATTTTCCAGCTTCTGTATGATCCCTGATGATCCCCGGCGCTTCTCTTCAAAGTCATTTTTCTTTCTCCGAAGTTAACGAAAACCTTCCAAGGTTGTGCAGATTATCTAACCCGACTGTGCTAAGCATGTTGCTGATAAGAACAAATGATGTTTTGAATCATGAAATTTTCGATGATCCACAGGTCGAAATTTGAGGTTTACCGAAAAATTCGACTTTTCAAGCACTCATTTGTTCTCATCAGCAACATGCTTAGCACTGTTGTGTTAGATGTTCAGTCAACTTTGGAAGGCTTTCGTTGACTTCGGAGAAAGAAAAATGACTTTGAAGAAGAGCGCCGGGGATCATCAGGGATCATACAAAAGCTGGAAAATGTGGTTTGAACAGCTTCTCGCTCCTGTTCAACATGTTCATAGTGAGGGGTAGTAGGAATACTTACGGATAGGTACACAACGTGAAATCCAGGTATCTGGAGTTTCGAAATATAAAGCTTTCTTTTAAGCTGCGATCCCCTCCTCGCGGGGAGGTTAGTGCATGCGGCCCTTAGTGTCGCGTCTCGCGATGCAAGGCGCTCTTCAAAGCACGAAGGCCGGCAGTATCGGTTACCGCGCTATCCGGCGATGATTACGGTAGCCGAGACCAGTGTTGTCACAGTCGCCTCCGGATCTCCCTCTTGTTGGCTCGTTGCCAGCCAGGCGGCTAGATGTAGCGGCTGGAGGGGACGAGCCGTCGTTTGCAATCTGGCGTTGCGCGGTGGATTTGTTGCGCGAGCCCTCAAGAACCACATTGAGAGTTACTTAGAGAGCGCATCAGTAGCATAGGACGGGCCCTCGTCCCATGTTTGTCATTAAGTAGTAGTAGTAGTAGCTTGCTTTATTGTTTTATTTCTTTCACGTTGACGACCATTTTTTGTTGCCTCTCCCGTGGACGAGCCATTTCCCTGCATTTTCATGCCTGGCTGCATATACGTAAGCATGCGTGTATGAGTGAATAACGAAATACAAGTGGGTGGGGCAGCTCCGTTCTCTTTTGGCAAGCCACGCCCACTCGGTTTCAAGAACTCATGCGATCCAGCATTTTTAAAAAGTGGGCAGAGCCTGCCAAAAGGGGCGAAGCCCATGAAACCCCTTAGCTTGAATGAAGTGATTATATGAACACAAATTAGGATAAGGAATAAAGGATTCGGCGTCTTCAATACCCTCTGCGGATGTGCGCCGAACGCACACTACTTCATAATCGAAGAGGCAATTGTATGCGTGCGAGCCTATTACAGTGACTTGCGGGGGCCAGCCGTTTCCAAGTCAGTGCTTTTATCCTAACAGATTACTCTGGCAATTTACCCGCCCCGGAGGGTGGAAGGCTTGATTGGCCCAGGGGCAGGGACCAAACCTGTGTCCGATCTGGTCACAGCGATCATACCACTACGCCACTCGTCCCCATGAACACAAATTAGCGATTACATACCTTGAAATTGGAATTTGAGGTGCCGCGCACCATTGCGCGGCGCTGTCATCACGTGTTAAGTGTAATGTGATGTCATAAAAATAATAATTTAGTTTATCTCCCGTCATTTTAGTCGCGTTAGGTACGCACTGGGATAGGTTCATCGTTTATTATAGGGCGAGACTAGCACTCGGGTTTCTAACTAGGTGCCAAGTCCAACGAGTCGCCGCACTTAAATGAAACTTAATGTTTTGGAATTTTTTGTTTTGAGATTAACATTTTCCTTATGTTTTCATGTAATTGACTTCATGCCGTTTGTGGTGGGAAATTACTTGTAGCAGGAGTTTTGGTTGAGAAGAGGTTTGTGCCTATGACCAGAAAACAAGCATAGAGGGAGGTAGCAAAACTTTTATTATACTGTTGGAGACGATAACAAGGTTTGAGGCCAACGAAACAAACTCGAACAACTAGGTATCGATGCTTTGTTTTGACACCAGCGTCAGCGTCGATCGGTACCTGGATTCTACTCGTTAAATTACAGAGAGTTTTACATTTGCAACGAGATGATCAATACTCATTTTTCCAAAGTTTCTTTGATGAACTGGTCTGTAAATGAGTGCTAATTGCTTAATTTTCAATTTCAAAACTAGTGAACCAGTAATCTCAAAGGTGCTAGTTGCGCTTTCGCCTGGGGACCCGCTTGGTTTTACGCTACCTGATGATTTTTGAATGCATCTTACGATTCTTTATATGTTAGACCATGTGGCCCACAATACAAGAGTGTGAGGATGACTTATTAAAACAAAAGCCCTTGCAAAGCTCTTTTGAATGATATCTAAGAAGTCAACCATGCATCAATCTTACAGTATAAAAGAGAGGGCGCATAAATGAGGTATAAAATGCTAATGCTAACAAAACTTTATCGTCTGTTCTAATTGGGTTCGGAGAGGAAAATGCCAATGAACGGATGCCCCACTTCGTTTTCAAAAATTATATGCCTTTTAAGTTTCGAAATGAAAGCTTTCAAGAGCACATCAATTTTACTCAAAGATGATGTAGGTTAAAGCGTAAATGGTAGCTCTTGATCGGTCTAAAAATCATGAAAAAGAAAAATCAGTCTTTGAAAAAACAGACTGTGCAGGGACAGATTGATTGGTTGTATCAAGTGCAATTTTCCAATGTACTTCCAGGGTACTCTTACGTATTCGTGAAAGAAAAAGTGAATTTTATAAGCGAACGTGTCGACTGCATGTCAACATTGTCGTTTCATTGATGCTCTACGGATTTATATTTTTCTTATGCTTGGCCCTCCTGTTACAACTTGGTCAGTCTGCCTCTTTTTCGGAATGATGTGGGTTACAAATGTGTGAGTTTCGTAATTTTTTTGGCAGTACACTATCTTTCCATATTGTTTAAGGGTGCGTTGTTTCGTGAATGAGTAGAAACGATCAATACAGCGTTTATAATTTCGCTTTTGCATGTGCCTTCATCTTGGTTGTGCTTCAGAACATTCATTGTTGTTGGCAAATGCAGTCAAAGAGAATTTTGAAAGAAGGCTTCGTATCTAAGGCATTGCAAAGCGCAATCGCAATGCTTCAGAAGGAGCCTTTTTTGCGCAAGTTGTTAGGTAAGGGCATCTCATTTTGAAGGTAATGCAAACAACTATCGGCGGAATCGCTTTTAGGATGCAATGGGGTAGAAGACTATATGTCGCCAAGGGGGGTGTTCCCACGCGCACATCTGCGACAGGTCACGCAAGCATACATATTACGCGCGGATTACGCGCGGATTTGTACTTCTGTCCACATGGGGTGGAACTTATTGGCGGCTATAGTCTCCTACCCGGACTCAATGCGTTTATTTAGTGTGCGTAACTTTCCATATGTCTCAGCAACCAGCCCATTTACTGCCATTTACCTGTTCTACAGTATCACATATCGAGTTCGAAAAAGTGCCAAAGGCAGCGAGTATGCGAAGCAGCGACACTAATGGGATAGCTTTATACATGATAGGGTAATGTATGCATAGAAGTGTAACTTTTCGGACCTTATTTTGGAGTGTATTTGTGGGTTCCCATCAGTTTTTTCCATTATCAACTTGCATTATTTACTTAACTGTCATCCGACCATTCCGAGAAGCGGTGGCTAGAGTGGTTAGGACATGCTTCGTCACAAACAAGATAATACCGGCTAACAATAATGTCAGCGTCTTCACCTTCACGCCGATTCAAATGAAGCAGCAGATAAAGATCTAGAGTTATATTGTTGTTTCATTCTGTATCATAGCAGCACAACTTCAATCTATTAGCCTAATTGCATGGCCTCCACCTTGGTAATCATTTTAAGGTCAAATTCAATGTTTGGCCATCAACGGCAGCTGTCCAATGTATTGAAATTGATGTGACATCTCACAATAGTTGGATATTACCAAAATAAATTTTTATAAAACCAACGAATTATTAGTGCAAAGCATCTGCATGTGTTGAAAGAGTCTTCAAGGGAAAGTGCATCATCTTATTCATAGATACTTTCTTCTGTACGCTTGTCTGTGCGTACTTTTCCAGAAGGAATTCAGCTGTTTTTAGGGCTAAAACTTTGCACATTCAAACTGCACGTGATTTGTGGAAAAACTGCCGGCGGCCGCCGAAGTTAGGCGACGGCAGAAGATAGGCGGCGAAGTTGGGCGGTGGCCGTCTAATGCATGCGGCAAACCACCTAACTTAGCCGAACTATGGGTATACGGTAGGTATGCCGTGAGTAGTTAGTCTTCACGAA